CTGCTATTTCAAATGATCTAGTGTTACAATTTAAAGCTGTTTTGTTGCATTTTATTGTTGGCATAAAATTGTCGTGACTTGTTATTGCATGCATTTTTAGTGTCGGCCAATTGCTGGAATATGGGGTATAAAATAAATAAGTTCTTTGGGTTCAGCCCCGCAAGTAGTTTCTTTGTGCATAAATTCAATTTGGACATTAGGGTTTTCCTGTGCTGATGGTTCATTTCCTTGGTTAGAGCAGTCAGTTTAATGGAATGTGTCCGGCAAATGCTTTTCTTTGTAATACTCTGCACTGCATCTTAATATCTTTCGGTCTTTGATTTTAGTTTTCAGACAACTATTACCGGGCAGAACTGATTGATGCACTAGCAAACTCTGTCACTCCAGCAGTTAGTGTGAACAATGAAGCCCGGACTTTGGACAATTTAAATCCTGATATACGCCTTATTCTTGAAGAGATTACCCGATTCTTAAACATGGAAAAACTGCTACCCAGTTACAGACACACAATTACAGTCAGGTACGATATAGAAATATTATGATTTTCGGGAAATCTAAATCTGAAAGAAAGTTAGATGAATTTCTTCTTCCCCCCCCTTAACTTTGTACTGCTGGGCAATTAATCTCGATTCAGTCACTCAAATCTTGCACCAAATCTTGCACCAATGTTCTGATATTTATCAGTAAATGTACAAGAGTCAAGCAGAGATTTAATAGGTGACTAGATTTTTTTTTCCAGAAAAAAACTGTCTTGAGAAAAAAGTAACGAATAAGCATTATTAAAAACATTTGTGCGGTAGTTATTTAACGTTATTTTCTATATAAGCTGTGATAGAAGCGCAAGATTACAATTTATGACGCTCAGTTAAGAGTGTTTTGAGTAGCAGTCTGTACAATTGTAAAATATGTTCCTGTCCAGGCTGTTTGTGACACAGAACAGTCTCTTGGCAAGCCTAGATCAGGAGGGGAATCTCATGTCATGGGAACACAAAAAGAAGAGAGAAAAATAAAAAGCCACAGGACCTAAAGGTTCTGATACATGGTTATCTCCATTTTGTTTACAAAGTTTTCCGTATTATAGATGAGTCCATGCTACATTGGATAACGAAATAAAAAAAATTAAAATTCAAAAATTAACATCACACTTCTATAAGATTATACTAGACACAACTTAAAGAATTAATTATAGGTAGTTATCGACCCTTTGAAGTTATGATGGCGCTGAATGAATGTCTGCAAAATTGGTCTGCAAAATTCCGGCCATACCAGCATCCCTGTGGTCATGTGATTAGGATCTGGGTGATTGGCAGTTTACACTTATAATCAGTTTCAGTCTCCATGATGACCTGATCACGATTTGCACTTTTCCCTGCTGGCTTCCCCAGAAAGTCAATGGAAAAGCCAGCAGGAAAAGCGGAAGTTGCTGGGATAAGTCTCCCCCACCCAATGCATTCTTCTCCAGCCTTTCTGCACTCATACTGTATATATAATTCCACTATACGGTGTCACCGCCTACGCACCCCCTGGGAACAGGTTAGGGTACCTCGTCAAACATCTGCTTCAATACCACACTGGCCTCTCATGCACCTCCCCATGTGCTCAGCCCATGCCACGCCTCTTGCACATCCCCTTGCATACCTGTCATATGCTACACTTGTGCACCCAAACTGTACCACCTCTCTTGTTTGCCTCCTTACACCCAGCACCCCCACCATGTCTCTCATACACTGACTCGTGCTATGTCTCTTATACACCTCTTCACACCCTGCCTTGCTCTCTTGTGCAATGTTCCCTGCACTGCTGAACATCCCCTTGCTTCCTCTGCTACCCGCTCTTCCGGTGCACGCGCCCTCTTAAGGCACTGAAAATGGTCCAACGGTCTGACATACCGGCGTAGGCTGTCCTACAATAAAGCCTCTAAAACAAGACCAGACTGTCCAGGACACCTGGTAATAGGATTGTTTATCTTTATACTAAGAAAGTGGGCAAGGCACCAAAGTCTGCATGTGGTGTGTGCCCAGGAAGACTTCGTGCTGTCCACGCTGTTCGACCAAAAGTTCTTATGAGACTTTCCAAAACAAAGAAACACGTTAGTAGAGCCTGTGGAGGTTCGATGTGTGCTAAAGGTGTTCACGACAGAATCAAGCGAGCATTCCTTATCGAGCAACAGAAGATCGTTGTCAAAGTACTGAAGGCACGAGCACAGAGTCAAAAATCAAAGGGATTATTTCGATTGTCGCCCAATAAATGAAGATTTAAATAATCTAAAAAAAAAAATCCTCTGCTACCCATCAGCAGTCACTTACTTCTCTCCTGGCCCGGCATTTGCAACTTGCTGCCGGCTTCCCCATTGACTTTGGTTGAAGGAAAGCTGTCTCACCTAACAACTGTGGGATCTGGTTAATGACAACAGCCAGGACTGCAGGTATTGCCACCACTAAGCAGTGCAGTTGTGCATTACTGCCATATTGCTTAGCGTTGTAAATTGCAGACCAGCCATAATGAGTTTTCCATCATTCATAAATTATGATACTCTTCCGTTTGTTTTGGTCAAGCCGAAACACGTGTTGTTGTTTTTTTAAATTTCCAGAGGCTATTATAAATTTGGATTTTACAGCAGTTTTCTTTTTCCTCATATCTTTCCTTCGCAGCTGTTTAAATGCAATTCGGATCCTGCAGAAGAACGGCCATGTCCCAAGTGACTCTGCTGTCTTTAAATCTTATGCAGAATACGGCCATTTTGTAGATATTCGAATAGCAGCTTTGGAAGCGGTTGTTGACTACACAAAAGGTAGGGAGGATGATATGGCTTTGTGTGTGTGTGTGTGTTTTAATAAAAGCAGCTCTTAGCTTTCTTTCATGTTCTTTTGACAATGGATCATATTTTAGAGGATTGAGAAAGCTCGCCAACCAACTCTTCAGGAATTTCAGGACTCTCTACAGTCCATTTTGTTCAGCGAAGGATGTCTGTTTTATTCCCTAATCGGGTATGCAACCTTGGCTCTTTTATGACTTGTGGACTTCAACTCCCAGAATTCCCCAACCAGCCATGAATTCTGGGAGTTGAAGTCCACAAGTTCTGTTAATTCTGTTAAGTCAGGACTCTTCAAACTCGGCCCTTTGATGACTTGTGGACTTCAACTCCCAGAATTCCCCAGCTAACCCAATTCCTACCTACCTTGGGAATTCTAAGATTCGTGGACTTCAACTCCCAGAATTCCCCAGCCAGCCATGCTGAGGGGAAAGAGAGAGGTTTCTAAGCTGAGCCATGCTGGCTCAGGAATTCTGGGAGTTGAAGTCCACGAGTCATAAAAGAGCCAAGGTTCCCTACTCCTGCGGCCTAAGTTCATAAACATCAGGCAGCCTGTGGAGAAAATAATCTCTTCCTGCAATTTTATAAATTTCACTGCTGTTATGGATGTGACAACAATAGCCTTGTCTGTAACTTAAATGTTTCTGCCAATACTCCCAGGTTGATAATGCTGTTCCCAGCCTGATAATTAATGGCATGCAGTGGCGCTTAAAAGTTTGTGAACTCTTGAATTTTCAATATAGCTGCATAAATACGATCTAGAATACGATCTGTCCTCCACGTGTCCCAAAACTGGATGGAGAACCCGATCGAACAAACGAGTCTGAAACATTATGTTTTTTTGGTAACCACATTTTAGACCATATTTGTGCAGAAATATTGAACATTCAAAAGGTTTTCAAACTTGTAAACACCACTATAATAGGTTTGAAAAAAATGCAGCTGCTCTGTCATTCCACTGTCTGTCACCAAAGTAATGCCTGTTCTCAAAGTTTTGTAAAAATTGTTTTGTAAGCTTCTTTCTTCTTGTCCCTCAAGAAAACGTTTCTAATTTCTTCTGATGAGTGAGATTGACCGTCTTGTTTAACAGGACTTATTTTTATCCTTAATAGTTGACCGAAGTTATGAGGAACTGCAGTGGCTGCTAACTATGGTCCAGAATGATCCAGTGCCCTATGTCAGGTTAGCCATTTTTTTTTTTGGCTACATTACAAAATTATCTTTATTTTGTAGGTAAATAATACCCTAAATGTAAAATTGCTTTTCCCAATAACCCATTTATAACCACCTGCTCAAAAGAGTATAGTTTTGATTTATATATCTCAAATGATTTTGCCTTTATTATTTTTTTAGAAAATATACTGTCTAAATATATACTATATGTATACTATATACCAGTCTAAAGAATAAGGGAGACATGATAGTAGTATTCCAGTATTTAAGGGGCTGCCACAAAGAAGAGGGGGTCATATTATTCTCCAAAGCACCAGAGGGCAGGACAAGAAACAACGGTTGGAAACTGATCAAAGAGAGAAATAACCTGGAATTGAGAAACTTCCTGACAGTGAGGACAGTTAACCAGTGGAACAGCTTGCCTCCAGAAATTGTGGGCACTCCGTCACTGGAGGTTTTTAAAAAGAGGCTAGACAGTCACTTGTCTGAGATGGTATAGGTTCTCCTGCTTGAGCATGGGGTTGGACTAGAAGACCTGCAAGGCCCCTTCCTATCCTATTCTACTCTACTCTACTCTACTCTACTCTACTCTACTCTACTCTACTCTACTCTGTTCTACTCTATTCTATTCTATTCTATTCTATTCTATTCTATTCTACTAGTTTCAGAAACATAGCATGACAGATCTTTATTTTTTTATGAGGAGAAAATCCTTTAATTTTTTTCTATAATTTTTCTCCTTTAAATTCACACAACTCGCAGTGTATTCTGAACAGAGTAAGTAATCATTCTGTGTGGATACTAAAGAAAATATTATTTGGTTTCTGGTTTGCAATTGCAGACAAAGATTATAAATGATGCCATTTCTTTAATGTTTTGCCTGTTGGTTTTAAGCTGGAGAGATAATAGTTCAAGTCTATATGCCTGATGACTTGAATAATGACAACCTTTGAACAATTTAGCTTCTTTTCTCTATTGGTTTCTTCATATATATTTTTTTTAGAAGATTAGGCAAATTTACAGAACGTGACTTCCTAAGCTTTGTGAACACAAATGATTGAGTTTGACTCTATGATATTAAGGTTAAGGACTTCCTCTAAAATTTGAGAAAGTGCAAGAATAAAAAACCTGCAGGTTAGAATCTCTGTGGATTAAAAGTTGATTTTTGTCCTTTTTTAGACATAAAATATTAAACATGTTGACAAAGAATCCACCATTTACGAAGAACATGGAATCTCCTTTATGCAATGAAGCTTTGGTGGATCAACTCTGGAAGCTTATGAATTCAGGTTAAATCTTTTTCTTAATTATTTACAATTTTTACAATATAAAACATTAATTACTTATTTTGGTATATTAGATACACTAGACAGCTATCCCCACACATATATTTTCTTATCTCTAAGTCCTACTGATTGTAGAATGCCTTGTCTTATCAAATCCATATTCTTCTTTTCTAGCATGTGTGCTCAAGGCAGTATGTACTGTATATTTACTGTATGTATACTGTATGTTTTCCAGGCATTTTCTATTGATATACAGAGTAAGGCTGAACATATACATATACATATAATCTGAATATATATATTCAGAATTTACCTTATGCCACTATAGTCTAAAGCATACAAATGGAACTTATTTGCTCTATAAATTCCTGCACAATTATCTCCAACATAGACTTTGTATACTGGGTTCTCTTTTGTAATAGTGAACTAATGGCTCAGTCTTGATCCTTATGATAGGCTTCTTCAAAATTCAGCTGAACTCGGAAAACAAATGTCACATCAAATAAAATCCACTGATTTCTCTAAGAAGAATAAACATAAGGATTTCAGTAATTGACAGTGCCAAAGGTGATCCAAATCTTCAGATGCTGAGTCCTTCTTGTATAATGAGGGAGAATACATAGGAATAATATTCAGCAAATTTGTGCCACTGTTCATTGAGGATGCAGTGTAAGAAAGGAAGTTAGTTTTTATGGAATTAAGACTTTCTACTGATAGAACCATTTCCATCAGTACAGCTGGGAGGAGGCTGTTCTCTCCCTTTCGGCCCTTCACACGCCCTGTCTGTGGACTTGCATCTTACACACTAACATACACGTTCTTTATTTCAAATTAATTTGATTAGAATTGGGTTTGGCAGCAAGGGGAAATCTAACAACGCATATTAATTTGTGGCCACAAGTCGTAGTGATGGCTACTGCCTTAGATGGGATCAAGACATTCATGAGCATTAGATTAATTGATGAAGTTGGTCCTTGTGTTTATATGGCACTTCTGCTTTCAGAGGTCTAACATCCTGCTTCCCACAGAGGCTAAGCATACTTCTGATTATGAAGGCAGCTTCTTCCCACTCATCCCTCCTAAAGAAGTGGTATTCAGTGGCACTTCTTATTCTCATAACAACTCCTTGGTTTTTTTTTTAACCTCAGATTAATCATACATATAAAAATATGCTGTGGATTGAAAAAAAAATAAGAGTTTTTGCAAGCAAAGCATTAAGTGGAATATTCATATGACTTTTCATAGTAAGATGTTCTTACATGATGCTTTTGGGAAGAAAAATGTTGCACCAGAGTTCTATCACTGGTGTGTGGGTGGGTGGGTGTGTGCGTGTGTATTAACAGACCCTGTCTTACCAAGAGTGTAAAAATTGATTTTCACTTGACCAATTGTTTACAACAATTTTCAAAACATTTATATATGACTTTACTCTTCGGTGACCTTTTTCCTTGTGCAATTCTACAGCTGTGTGGCAGTTAAGTAATGGTGGGGTGGGGTTGGAAGGATTTGCTAAAAGTCAAATTCAGGAAATAAATGGTTTGATTTTTGTTTTGCATTTGAAAAAAATACTGAAGCAAATTTGTCTTATAAAGTTAGTCTTTAACTAAATGGCCTTGTTGTAACAAAAGCAGTGATACTAGAAGAGAGATTCTTGATTTTTGAGGGGGTTAGCAGCAAATCTCTCTGAGTCATGTGGACCTTTTATTTGAAGTGTACTTTCTGTAAAGAACAATTGTGAAGTCTCAGATTACCAGTATGAATATTTATTATGATAAACTCTCTTGGAAGGCCTTTTGAAATAATCAGATCTTTACCATGTTATTACATATTAAGGGGAATACAAACTGCTGCCTCCCAGAATAAAGCTAGAACTAGCGAATTCCTTTAAATAAATTCTTAAATAAATATTCATACTTAAAATATCTGCTTCCAAGGCAACCAGTGTATTCAACAACTGGTTTTAAAGTTCAGATTGCATACTTCTGTTGTTACCTTCATTATCTGAATGAACAAACTAAAGCTTGGCAAAGAACTGTTTTTTCCTATCTGTGTTGAAATCAGTGGAATCATAAATAGGAAAGAAAAGAAAAACAAGAGGAAATAATCTCTGATTTATTATCTTCTGGAAGATGGGTTCAACTTTGGATGGCAAGAACTGTTGAGCTCCACTTCATTGTGTTTTTAGCTTTCTTATCAGGGCAAAAGGGTCTTTGTGTCCCTACAGTATCATATGCTGCAGGGTCTTGTGACAGTTGAATATATATGGGCTGTCTTGTAATTTTCCTCTTTGCTGAATTGTGCTCGAGACACACCCCTTTTACTTCATTTATTGGCTATTTTTTTCCATTCTGGGAACTGTCTGCTAAAAGATACTGTATATCTCAAAATATTGTTTCCTCCCACGTTATAAATATATCTTTTCTTGGCCTTGCATGCCACTAAATCTATAGTCATTAAAGGTAATGACCAGTAAACCTATGTCTATAGATTCACATCTATAATAGTACACACACACACACACACACACACACACACACACACACTCTATACATATATGTGCCCATGCGCTCATGCAGCACCCCCATGTTCATTCCATGGGATTCCCTCTGCTTCTCCCTTAACATCCTGCAACCTGGAATTACGACTTGTTGGGTTGTCTTCGCTAAACAGTGCAGCAGTCACTTGACATCGTCCTTGACAATCGCGCTGCTTAGCAACGGCAATCCCAATCCCAATGGCTGTCATAACCCTAGGACTACCTGTAGAGGTGAAGTTAATACCTTTCTGAGTGCTCTTTCCACTCGCTGCGGATGGTACAGTGCAAGGCACCACACCTATAAGGATGACTCTTTTGCTCCCTCTTTGCTTCTCAAGGTACGTGCCACGACTGGAGGCTACGCTGTGGTGCTGTCGACCTGTACTTCACCCTGTTTGGTCTTAGCAGGCCTTCCTGTTTACCCCTGCCGGAGCTCGGCTTGGTCCTTAACCTCAAAGAAAAGAAAGCTGTGCTGAACCCAACGATAATCCCTGAGCCCGGAGCCTGTGGCCCGGAACCTCCCAACAATCCAAACTCTCTGGGTCAAATAATTGGCTTCCCAACCACAGTAAGTAGATTCCCTAATTCCTTGCACAGCCTTAACTCCCTTCACTCATAGCAACTCCGTTTCCCACAGTGGTCTCCATTTTTAACCCTTGTTCTTCCTGTTCTGATTGCAGCCTGCTTCCCTTGGTCAAGGCTCGTCTCCACTCTCGCCTAACCATTTATTTATCAGGCTGTAATTTTTCTCATCCGAGCTGCTTGAAAATGTGAACACTGTGCCTGTATCCTGCCAATAGAAGACATGACTCTTAGGGAGAAGGGAAGCCTCCATAAAAAAAATGGCACAGATTTTAAGGTATCAGCCTGTGTGATAAATTGCCACATGACAAGTGGGGACAAACATAAACAAATGTGGCTTTAGCTTTTTCCTCTAGGCTGACATCCTTTTTTTTTACTAGCGAAACACGTCTTTCAGTAAAAGGCTGTATTAAGAATCTTACTTGTATGGCTCAATTTACAGAGGTAGCTTTGTTTTGGCATTGATCATAACTAACCTATGATTAATAATATCCTTTCTCTCCCACACCATTCTCCTAGTACTCTTGTACATGTAGGGGCCTAATATCTCATTAAAAAATAATAAAAAAATGGCTGTCATTGTTTAGTAGTATATTTATGATTTGTCTGGTTTGGGAGGATGACAGCTCATTCCATTGTATCCAGTAGGAATAATTGCATTTGTGTTCTCAGGAATTACTCCTACAGCTAATACTGCGAAGGATCCCAAATGCATTGTGTTCAGTTCCCAATAAATTAGAATTGTTTGTATTCTTGTTGTTATACCACTATTTTCAAATTTAATTTTTGTAACTTTCTCCAGGAAGATGATCACCTGAGTAAGGAAATATCAATCCTTCCCCTTCCACATCATCAGGGGTTGAAGAGGAAAGCTGATACACCTCTTGGGTCTCCATTGGAACCTGGACAGATACTTGAGAAGACTGAAGACAGCAAGGTTAAGCTCAAAATAAGGGTAGGTAAATAGGAGATGGGAGAACTGTGCATTTAAGTGGGTGAATGGGAAACAGTGGGAGAACTGTGCATATAAGCTACAGTCTTAAACATCAGATATCACTTTATGGTTCTGTATGTCAATGCTGCCCACATCGGATGTTCTTGCTTGACAATATATGAAGATGGAGACATTTTCTATTTAACCTGTGTGTTACTTTTAGAGTTAAAATTAGATGTTGCTGGAAGGGAGGGGGGAAGAATGTGCTTGGAGACTAGTTAGCCATAACAATATCTCAGTAGAATTCTTCAAGGTTAGTTGTAATAAGAGGAGGTAATGGGAGGGAAAGTTCACACTTCAAACTAATTGGAGAATGTGATTAATGACTGTTAAATGAAGGAGTGAGTTATGCTTTGTTACTGCGTCTGGGGGAGGAGAATTTGGATTTTGGCTTCTCTATGTACGTGCAGAAGCTATGCTGCAAATTAAAGATTCTTTAAGGTAAACAATGCCTCAAAGTTCTTTGAAAAGCTTCTTCTTTCGGAACCATGACACTGTACTTGCCTAAGGAAAAAAACCCAGCCCTTTTTGAAAGATGATTTGTATCTTATCACACAAATTCTTTGAATTATGGACTACATAAGATACTCCAAAAACAAGGAAGAGAGTGAAAGAATTTTAGCTTTTGACACTACTATGTTTAGTATCTTCATCTGTCCCATAGTGCTAAGAAATTGCTAATATCAGGAAAGTCTGACCGAGTAACCCATTGTCTGCTGCATGTTTCTGTTAATAGCCATATCTTAAGGAGCATAAACAAAGAGTTCTCATTCTAGGAGCAATTGAACAGTAAATGAAATTAGGCTGTTTTAAAAAAAACCATGATTTTTGTTTTTAAACCAGCTTGCTTATTATAATTATTTTCCATAGATNATTGCTAATATCAGGAAAGTCTGACCGAGTAACCCATTGTCTGCTGCATGTTTCTGTTAATAGCCATATCTTAAGGAGCATAAACAAAGAGTTCTCATTCTAGGAGCAATTGAACAGTAAATGAAATTAGGCTGTTTTAAAAAAAACCATGATTTTTGTTTTTAAACCAGCTTGCTTATTATAATTATTTTCCATAGATTTGAAAAAAAAACCAAACATGTTTAGCTGGTGATTAGAACTCCTTAAATATGTTCTGGTTTTGTTTGTTTTCTAATTTTGCAGTTTTCAAATTCTCAAGAAGAAGAAGAGATTGATATGGACACGGTTCATGACAGTCAAGCTTTTATCTATCATCATTTAAATATGTTGGAAAGACCATCAACACCAGGTTAGTGATAGGGTGGATAAAAGTCAGTAATTAAAAAAAAGATTCCAATTTTTAAATTTATCAAAATGTGATTTTTTAATTTAAAAAAGGCAATAATTTCTTGTTCACCAAAATGTAAAAAAAAGTGTTTATTATTTATTACTCACAAAAACGTGCAAAATCTGTACTTAAAAGTTACGGTTTGGTCATGTTCATATATAGTATATTCACATGGTCATTCATTTCAGTTTTTCATTTCCTGATCATGGCTTAGCCCATGCTTTTAAATGTCCATTTCATATGTATAAAGAAAGAAGATAGATGGAAGTATTTCCTGTGCTTATATGATGATGAAACTAGTCCTAGTTAGGATAAAGGGATATTTATAACGTACTCCTCTGGAATCTGCAGTGCAGCAGAAGTACAATTTATATACTTGTCTGTGGAGATTCTCAGTCATCCAGGTCATGGTGTCCCAAAGGTACTTTTTCAAAAGGCGACGACTACACATTGGAGAAACAAAAACAACCACTTCACAAACTCATGGCACAACATAGGAGGACAAGATTCAGCAGTCCATCTGCATTTGAAAGACAAAGGTCATTCTTTTGAAGAGAGCAAAGTCCATATTCTGGACAGAGAGGACCGCTGGTTTGAAAGAGGGGTCAAAGAGGCCATTTACGTTAAGATTGAACAGCCCTCTCTCAACAGAGGGGGATGGATAGGACACTACCTATCTCCTGTTTACAACACAGTCCTTTCAGCAGTTCCAAGAAGGTTCCACACCCATTTGCACTATTCAGGTGACCCTGAGGACACAAATAAACCTCCAACTGGCCTCAACGACTCTCAGAAAAAGTGCCAACGACCATTTGCAAGGAATATAAATGTTTCCATTCTCCTGTCAGAACTGAAGAAGCTTCTTGGATAAGAAGTGAAATGTCTTCAAGGAAAAACAAAGTCCAGTTGCCTTTTGAAAATGTACCTTTGGGACAATTTTTTTTTTTTTGCTTACAATTAAGAGTCACTTAGGTAATGAGGTGGGCAGTGCCTAAATTTGATAAATAAAAATAAACACAAGCGAGCAATCAAATGAGAAGACCTGAACTCATTGGTAGCCTCACACTGCAGTGAACAAGGACACACATTCAATTTTGGAGCTACTAAGATTGTTGGACGAGTAGGCATAAAAACAGCCAGGGAAGTGATTGAACCCTGGGAAAGAGCCCCCTCGTAAGTCAACAGGAGCGCTGGTTTACTGTCAGCCTATCAAGTACTTAGAAGGCAAGGGTTGGGTAGCACAAGCAAACACCTAATGACTTAAAAGCTAGCCATCAACACACCCCAATCAATAACTAAAAAGCCACTTACAATAGGCGCTATAAATCCCACACAGAGAACAGCACACACTCTGCTAGAGAGAAGCTCCTTGAGGATTTGTATACTTCCTACTCATTAGATTTTTGGCAGCTTACAAACTGAAAAGCAATCAAACATCTAACATACAAATATATGCTATTGGTGGAAAATTTAAGTAACTTTTCAGTATGTATTGGCCATAATTGGCTTCTTTTAAGTACACCTCACCAGTATTACCTTGCTCCTGGGGCACAAGTAGAAGACTGATAATTAGACCCCCAAGCCAGCAGTTTGAAGGAAAAGCAGAGCAATCAACTCCTTCAACTGTCTGAAATAGACCTTCTGAAAAGGATGTGTTGAGTACCATATTAGTAAAGCTTTAGTAGTCAGGAAGAATGTAAGCCCAGGGCCCAACTAAATCACGAACTGCTTAAATTGCTTTGTGTGCATCCTTAGGCAAATCAGATTTTAGCTAAATAAATCCAGTAGCCAGTATTAAGGGTTTTCAGGGCAGACCCTACCATGAAGGAAAAGTTAATTAGATGTGAGCATCTCCCTTCTTAAACACCCTTCCTGAATAGTTCCCTGAATACTTAGAAAGCACGGTGCTGGCAAACAACATGTGCTCTTTTTTTAAAATCAAAAGCTTCCCATTTCAAATGGCCACGGTGATGGATGTGGAATTTTTTTTCCCAAATCTCCCACTGTTTTCACTCAACTGAAAACTCTTCCTTATGGGAGAGGAACAATCATTTAACAAACAGATCGATTCAGGATTTCAAAATTCACATGAATTGACCAAAGCAGAGAGCTTATTTTAAAGAGTAAGTTGGAAATCTGTCAGATCCAATAATTTCTATGGGCATATCATTTTATAAGCCACCATGCCGTAAGAGGGTTTTAATATGTGTTAATTTAATTTAATCTTTTTTGTAGTATTTTTAATTGTAAGCTGTAAATATAAAAAAAATAATATATGGTTTGTTTTTATCCCATTTTCATTATTTTTTTTATAATAACTCAAAGTGGGAAACATCCCCTTTGGTCCCCCCTTCTCCTATTTTTCCCACAACATCAACCCTGTGAGGTGGGTTGAGCTGAGGCAGAGTGACTGGCCCAAAATCACCCAGCCGGCTTTCATGCCTAAAACCGGACTAGAACTCACAATCTCCTGGTGATTGGCCCCAACTCATTCAGCCAGCTTTCATTACTAAGGTGGGACTAGAATTCACAGTCTCCTTGTGATTGGCACAAAGTCACTCATCTGGCTTTCATGTCTAAGGCAGGACTAGAACTCACAGTCTCCTGGTTTCTAGCCTGGTGCCTTAACCACTAGACCAAACTGATGCTGTATTTCAGATGGTGACCGTTTATCAGGCCATAACATAAACAACAACAACAACAACAACAATAATAATAATAATAAAGTTGGAAGGGACCTTGAAGGTCATCTAGTCCAACCCCCTGCTCAGGCAGGAAACCCTACACCATTTCGGACAAATGGCTGTCCAGTCTCTTCTTAAAAACTTCCAGTGTTGGAGCATTCACCGCTTCTGGAGGCAGGTTGTTCCACTGGTTAATTGTTCTAACTGTCAGGAAGTTTCTCCTNTTTTTACATCGTGGTGACCAAAACTGGATGCAGTATTCCAAGTGTGGCCTTACCAAGGCATTGTAAAGTGGTAGGGTATATCTTATGAACTCAGAACAGAAAATGCTAGTCAGCAGGCCTGGAATCAAATGACCGTGGTTTAAAATCTCTAGTGAACCTATATCAGATAAGAGAAAGCAGTACCAAACTGGGTGGGCCAATGTTCCGGCTTGCTGTATTATGGTTTTCTGTATTTGAATGGTTGTATGGCCTCCATATGGCCTTTATTAAAATCAAAGGAGTGCTGGGACATATTCTTCTAAAGCACTGTTCCCATTTTTCAAATAACAAAGGGATAATTTTTGAGCCCCTTGCTGAGAACAAAATCTGGTAGCTTTGGTACAGGCACAGCACTGTTGGTTTGAAAGATGACGAAAGCTATTATTTCAGCTTTCTTTTTTTAAATAACAGAAGGGCAGCAGCTCATCTGAATAATCTGCAAATGGATTGAGTTAAGACTTGAAGACCCAAAAGCGGCCTCTAGAATACTTACGACTTTTCAAATTTGACATTTTTCCAACTATGACTAGAGTTTTTCCTGTTCTGAAGCCAGTTTTCTAACATAGTCTTGTACTGTCTCCCCTTGGTTCTTTAAAACAATTCAAGTTTTATTTTACTGGGAATACTTAGCAGATTTCGTCTAAAAAGTCGTAAGGCACAGTTCTCTACATGGACAAGGCTTTTTTTTGTCACATAGGATGTGGCCATGTACTTAATGTCTTTCTTTCAGGTCTTTATAATACGATGACCATTGAATTTTCAGGCTTTATGCAATCTGAGATTTAGATCTTCCATAAACTCTACATCTAGCTGAATTGCAAATTTATGGGCGATTTCCAGAAAGTGAAAGTTCAAAGAAACATTTGGGTTAAAGTTATGGAACTTGTATTGGAATTAGTGGGGAGAGTTTGAAAACATAACAGACAAGGCAAACTCTGCTTGTGTTTTTGGAATTTTATTTAAGCATCATAAGTGTCATAAAGGATAATTCAGTACAGTTCTTGTAGCAATAGGTCCATACTTGCAAATGGAGATGTATGTTCCTAAAATTGGGCATTTATGATGTTAAGGGGCCTTGACAAGGCTTTGGACTTGAAAATTGCCTAAGAACTTGTAATGTGGCAAACAGTCCTTGAACTGTTATGTATAATCCAACAGACAGGTTTAATTACTATATCCCTTTGGCAGTTCTTTTGAAATTATCTCTTGTCATTTTCTACTATTATCAAGAGAGTAATCTTGCAGAATCAGCCCAAGGCTGTAAACCAGCTTTTTATTTCATCTTTCTTCCTTTCTTTCTTTCTTTCTTTCTTTCTTTCTTTCTTTCTTTCTTTCTTTCTTTCTTTCTTTCTTTCTTTCTTTCTTTCTTTCTTTCTTGTAAGCTTTAACAACAATAAGAATTAATACAAACTGAAAAAGGAAGGGGAAAAAAACACTAAAAGTTTAGAAAGAAAATAGAAGGAAAAAAGATGTAAGGCAAGATATAAAGAAGTGACATGATTTCACCATAGATACAAGTGTAATTATATTTTAATCTTTCTGTGTTTTAACCATGACTCTCTTCTTTCTATAATCTATCCTGTCCAATCATCAAAACCATAAATCATAAGTTTAATTTTTCTTTTTTTTAACACAAAAACTCAATAAGGGGTTTTTAATCTTCAATAGATGTAGATATGCTGTATGTATATATTTGTCTAATCAAACAAGTCAAGTTTAGGCACAGCTTTTTATTTCTCAACTAAATACTGTTGGGATGCTCATGAACAGGTGTTAGAAAGGTACTTATTCCCACCATTATTCCTATGGAAATATGCTGCCTCTAATCTGAAGGAAACATTGAATCTTGGACTGTCACCACTCAGTAGAACTGTCTTCCAGGAATTCATCCAATCCCTTTTGAAAGCTATTCACGTTAGCAACCATCTCGCCGTCTAAACCTATTGTACCCTTACCCTTATATTTCTGTACCTCAGTAATAAACATCTGTTAAAGTGAAGACAATTCAGCATCT